GTTTACCTTTAGTTGATATTCCCAATTTAAAACAGCATGAACAAATATTTATTGGTAAAAACAATGAGACAAATTAAGGGCAGGATTTTCTTTTATCGACAAAATGAAAAAAAGTCAATTAGGTGGAATTTTTAGCCTCTCAGTGTATTATAGTTTTAGATATGAGTGATAAAATGATTGTGCTCAGGATGAAGATCCATAACTAAATTGTACAGCGGTTCTGGCAAAGGTTCAAATGCCTCAAGAAAAACTTTCCTGCCACTGCAACACATCCCAGCAGTTTCTACTTTCCACTACAAAGCGTTACACCACTGACACTTGTGGATCATGCTATACTACTACTGCTAGATGTGCTATACGATTCATACGATAACTCGAAATCATACGCCAAAACTGATAAATAATTCTTGAAGAAAGAAAAAGACAATCTTTCTATTTTTTTTGTGCACTGTTTTTCCGATGACAAGAATGAATCTCTCTGTTCTGCTCAAGATGCGTGTGATGATAATTGGTAAAATCTTGCCTGTGAACGTCAGGACGTAATTTTTGAATTCTTGCAACTGCTTGTCGATGCGCAAGTAGGATTCTTTTCAGAAGATATTTTTATACGATTCTTGCGGATGTTATTTGTGGATCGAGCCCTGCGTTGTTGTTTTTTTTATGTGAGTTCGTATGGTATGGTAATGAAGATACTAGGAAGCGGTTCCTAGTTCCCTAGTTCAGTGCAATAGACTCAATCCTTCTTCTTAGAAGTATCAGGTCATTGGCTGTCGCTGCTACACTTTCATCCCCTAGACTTTTTCATATGTTAGGTTAAATCTCCATTGAGCTGTTGCTTCGCATTCGAAGATGATATGGGTGGCTGTTTCCTCCTCCTCATTGCATAATCTGCAGATAGATCATCATTGTATAGATGTTTTCTCAGGTGTCAGTGACCAGTTTGAGTTGGTAAATCTTGATTTGACGAAGTTGGATATATGGACTCGGTTTCAAACATCGGAGTCATATATTAAGTCGAAACTTTCAGAAGAGGATAATTTTTAAAACAGAAGCAAAAACTCGAAAAATTTGCTGTATTCGTCGTTTTATATGGGATATCATCTGTTCTTTGTGCGAACAATGGCGTAAACTATATCCGTCGACTGTTCTCTTGCTACGGAAAAGTGGGGAGAACGACACTGCGCGGACTGTGGGAGGGGATGTTCATGTTTCGGCCTATACGTGGTAAAAGATTGTCTATATTCTCTTAGATATGGAATTTCAAAAAATCCTTTCTTAGCGATGGATATTCAAGTCATTATAGGAATGCACTGTCAAAATTTCAGCCCTTTAGATCCAGGGGTTTGGTCTATGCGTGGTCTGTCAATCAGTCACTTAATGTTTTATGTATATAGAGAGATTATTTAATAGATCCCGAAGAAACACCAACAAGTAGTAGAATTTTGAAGGAAACAGGTTTTATTCTCAATAGCTATAAGATTATTTATGTTACAAGGAATTGGCTTCTTACCGTAAGCCCAGCGACCTACAATTGGTCTATTGTGCAATCTCCATTATTATCTAGAGCTTATCGTCAAGCTTAATGCTTTTCATCAGATCCCAAAGTATTTGCTTTTCCTTTACTAGGAGTAGGCATCTCTAGCAGAGGCTCCTGTTCTGCTTCTTCCTGATGTCTGCGGTGACCTCCCACTATCATTCTAGTCCAGGTTTAGTAGAACTGTCATTTGTTTCAGAGATCCTTTTATGTACTTTTCGCCGGAACTACTCGATCAACAATTCCGACTATTTATGCCAAGTTTTCAGGTCCGTTAAATGTCTCAGTGAACTTGGCCAATTTATCGGCATGCCCTGGTAGCCAAACGAGGAGAATTTTGTTTTTGCCCCCAATGACTGACGAGGCCTTGATACAGTCTCAAATACCTCTGGACCTAAATGCCTATGAGGTTGCCTTTAGTGCTGCCTGGCTGTTCGAGCTGATGGCTATTCTTCGATAAAACTTGGGAGTTTTGTATGAAAGTCACACCCCTGAAAGAAAGTGGTACATGAACCATGTCTTATATGAATTCCAATCCTTGGTTTGGTTTATTTCCATAGATATGTGCTCCTGACCCATACTAGGCCTTAGAGGCATCTATATACCACATATGATTATATCTACTCAATAAATATTATTATAGTTTTATTGTGTTTCATTCTATATGAGTCGAGCAATGCCTGAAGTGTGAAAACAAAACTGAAAAGATCTAAAGTTTCTAGAAGGCAGTTGAGATGAAAGGGAATGCCTTCACATTCAAATTGCGAAAAAGTGCCGTCGTTTAAATGGCAATCTAAAAGTTTGGTCGTAATAAATAGTAGACATGGCATTCGGCACGTAATCAGGTCTTGTCCATCTGCCTGGGTTTCCGCATATCCGGAGACATCAGCCTCTATTCGAGCTGGGTGAGAATAATCACAAAGCTTTGAAACTTGAGTACTTAAATTCAATTAGTCGAGCCCACAAGTATCCTGAATCATCTGACAGTCAAAACGGCATCGGCTTTCCTTTAAAAAAAAACTGGCCTCCATTTGACGGAGGATGGGTGAAATTTCACCGTTCCGCAGTTGACGCATTCTCATTAATTATAGTTCGTATAGGGATATAGATGTCCTAATTGAAAATTGATCTTGATGATGATGAATATGGAGACTAAGAAATGGGGGGTTGTGTTCCCCAGACTACTGTAGCTTTCTGGCTTGTTGTACATTTCCAAATTTCTTACTGCAATTCAATCGACTCGATCCATCTCTTAAGATGTAACGAAAATGATTTCTCAGATACAGTGACAGGTAATCCTATCACTCTTAGTTTAGCTTTCTCTAGCGTGTTTGCTAGTGTAGGTATGATGTTTAAAACAATCATACCTACACCAGCCACCACACTAGAAAGAGCTAAACTAAGAGTGATAGAATTACCGGTCACTGTATTTGAGAAATAAAGCTTACTTTGTCTATACTCTCTACAGTTTATCCACATCTCCTTCGGTCTTTTTTGGATCCATTCTGAGATTGAGGATGTTATGTAGAACTTTTGTCATCCCAAGGAAAGGTTCAGGGCCTATACATAATCTAGCAGACCCTTCTCTGTACAGTTTGTTGCTTTTTCGTTATTCACAATTTCTTTGTGTCTTGGTACCAAGATAATCGTTGGGTTGTTCCCTGATTTCATAGATTCATCATGGAATATGCCCATGTTATATAGATGTTTTCTCAGATGCCAATGACCGGTAGACCTATCACTCTGAGTTTTGCCTTCTCTAGCAATAGCTGTGAGTTGGTAAAGGTTATTTTAACACAGATTTACTGTATATCGTACCGCCAGAGTATATCCACTTTTCTTCTTTTTTCCATTCTGTGATGGAGGACTCTATGTTTGTTTTTGGTATTCCAAGAATAGGTTCAGGCCAATATATGGTGTTGCAGATCCTCCTCTGGCCAGTGTGTCAAATTTTTCGCTAACCAAAATACCTTTGTGTCCTGGTACCCAAGATATCATCAGGTCGTTGTGTTTCCTTAGGTTTTGTTGATTTTGGATTCATTACCTGACTAATTTTTATGTGTTTTTTTACGTGCTAATGTTTTAGTGGCTGCTTTTTCTTCTGATCTTTTGAGGATGTTTTTGTCTGTATAACCTCTTTTAACATTTTCTTAGGCACAAGCGTAGATGGCATGTATTTCAACTTGTAAGAACCCTGTGGAACCTATTATCTACCGTCCCATCCGTTTGCTTAATGACCTAAATAAAATATTCTAAAAGGCCATTGGTTACAGAATTAACAAACACTTAGACCTCAAGGAGATACTGCTTGATGACGAGTTCGGCTTCAGGCCTTTCCTGTTGACTCAACCCCAACTAACTTTCCTGACTGATCGACCGAAAAGTGTTGCTACGATTGTTTTCCATCAGTGGTAGGTCACTTGTGAACAGCCAGTACAGCAGAGGGTCTAGGATGCTACCTTGCGGTAAGCCAGCTTTGATTTTAAACAAATCCGAGTATATCGTGTTGCTTAACTTGCAAAAGTCTTTCGGAATGATGGAAGGTCAAAAGTTCAACAAATTGTTTTAGGAATATTTTTTTATGCATTAAACCTTCGTGCCAAACCGTGACAAAGGCTCCCGGTTCGTCAAGGAATAAAGCTGAACTAAATTTTTATCTTCTACATTATCTATATTTTATCAGTGATTCTTTTTATCTGATCTATGGTTGCTTGGCTATGAATCCGAACTTGGCTTGGTATAATGTTCGCCATCACTGAAAGTATGTTTCCAAAAGTCCACCTTTTCGATCTGACACGAATTATAATTGATCTAATGTTTAAAAACCTTTTGCATTAAGGCATGAATATTGTTAAACGTAAATTATTTCCGCCCAAAAAAGCGAAACCGAAGTTTGTATTGTCTGTTTTTCTTTAAATACAATCAATGTCTGCGATGGCCTTCAGCTTTCCTTGCCTCTTGATCTGAAAAGCCTTGGTCCTTTTTGTAAATCCTGATTTTGTTATGCAAACCTTGGGGGAAAGGTTCAAGTGTTTCTTCATATAGAAATTAATTTACTCGTCCTACATCGCTGTGCGTTTGGTAATTTATTTTTGCCAGAGCTATCCGTTTGTTTTGGACGTTTTAGCTGGATCATGAAGGCCTTGGGGGTGGGAAATGTCAATCCTATAACTTTTATATAAGACAAAATGACAATGAAGTTCATGTTCTCTTCAAATTATTATTGATAATGATTGTACCTGTTGTCTTACCTGTTGCATGTGTCGCTCGTGTAAAAATACATAATCATGACAGGCATTGAAGAATTTTTCCAACAGCCGGTAAGGAAAAGGAAAGCGGAAAATGAAAGTAAAATTTTTCTCTTTAACTGATATTTCTATTATTTAATGGAGAAGACAACAGTTTAAAGAAACAATTTATTCTATCATACAACAATAAGAGAATTCCATTGTATACATATATATATAATNTTCATAAACATAATATGAATATATGCATATATATATAAGCAGATAGTGGGCCGCTTTTAAGGAACTCCACTACCTCTTGATTTATTGGGAGTTGAGGTTTTAAAAAAAAGTGTAGTCGAGAGCTCGAAGCCATACAGACCCACATGGCGGTCTGATAAACTTCCAAGTTTGAATTGCAACCCTAGGTGGTACTGATTATTTTTATAATTTATTTTATTGTCATGAGGAATTTTTTTCTGAATGCTGGTGGGAAAATATGGTTCCTGGATTCCCTTCAATTTTTTCTGTTTTTATCGATAAGTAATATTAACTAATGTTAAAATTGCGTTAATTAAAAACATTTTGTCATAAACGTAATATAATCATATCAATAAAAATATTAAAAAAACAAAAAAAAGAGTACTTGACTAATTTTATAAAAGTGAGGATTTGGTTTTAATGATGTTGATAGTTTACTTTTTCAAACAAATTGGCCCGATAAATAAATAATTATGCACATCTAGAGCATGCAGTTTAACAATATAAATAAATTACCCTAAAATTTTTGCGTTGACTTAGTCGTAAACTGATACGGACAAATTGTTTAACAAAAGTAAATATGATTGTTAAAAAAATAAGACATTTTATTTTTCATTCTTTCTACACTAAAATACTTTAAAGGTATTCTCGATTTTTAATATAAATCATGATAAGATCATTCACCGACTCCTCATGACAATTAATTTAGATTAATCTATCATGCTAGGTGAAAACTTAACCTGATGACCCTAAATGTCAACAGGGCACAGAATCAGCAAACATTGGACTTCGGAGGACTTAGTAATTGTTGTGACGTCTTCAAGCTCTCGACTCCAATTGTGAGGGGAAAAGGTTTCGGGGGTCCCCGCCCACTATACACTTACATATATTCTATATTCAATCATAGGTACATATATACACACAAATATTATTTTGCATTAGAAATAGCGCCACAAATTGAGAACCTAGGAGTTAGTTACCTTGGTGCATATTAATAATCGTATTTGTACTTTCATTTTTATTTTATTATTTTTTTTATTTAAACTTTATTTTGAATAATTTACCGAACTAAACTGTTGAGGGAACAAGGCAGGGCCCACTCGTATACATATGTTTTTAAATGTACTCCTTACAAGAACATGCAAGTACATATAAAAAAGTCAAAATCACTTGCTCCATTTAGTAACAGAAGACAATTATTTACAAAATACTAAATAAATGCAGTAATCACATGTTTCCAAATAACATTTTCAACAAAAAAAACATTTTTGTTTCTTTTTTCCTTTCATTTATTTATATGAACATTGTGTATTCCCTTCTACATAATATTTAAATTATGTTAGACGAACGTGTGTCTAGTGGGAAAATTTACATCTAAACCTTGCTTGAGTGCCAAATCCTGGTGGAACACATTTATCCATTTATTGTTATTATTTCCATTACAAACTTTTTTCTTATTCAAGCGAAGGTCTTTATTGCATATAGTGTTAATATAGATGTAAAATATATAATAAAAACTATATTTATACCTTATTCCAATCCTGATTACACGATAAGAACAGAAAGAAAAAACGTTCTTATCCTCGAGTAATTAGTGAATATGAATTTATTTTTCAGATAAAAAAGCTTTCGATATCGAATTATGTCTAAGTTACAATATCTGTCATCGAATAAACAAGTTCATAAAGTAATAAATAAAGTTGCAAAAATAGTTTGTTTCAATCGTATACATTTTTCCACATTCGGAATTTAATCGTAGTTATTATAAAACGCTTAGTTCGTGCTTAAATATAAAGCATGGGAGTACAGGAGATAGAAATTTTACAATACACATTGCCTACTGTAATAATATATAATACATATTTATATAAATGGAGAGAGTTAGATGCTCAATAGAGGGGGAAGTGGGGAGGTCTAACTAAATACTAATGTTGTGGCTCAACCAACATATCTCATTAGTTATTATTATTATTTTTTTAATTATTAATATTATTTTTGTTACAAACAAGTCAAATCTGTGCTACATTTCATCAAATGTAAACTGTAAAACATTTAAAGTAATAGAAAACACAACAACACTGCAATAACACAAAGCACAATTCGCCTACCCTGAACTTTCCACTAACGAATTCAACCCAAAAAATTCAAAGTTGTAATCGAATTAACAATAAAAATGCAGGGCGCACGGTGGAGCGAACGGCCGAGGGGTTCTGAAAAAGAAAAAAAAAATATAAATTTCAACAAAAAAATTGTGTAGAATGGGCAGTGTTATGAAACAGAAAGAAATACAAGAAAAGTCTCGGTTATCACCGGGACAGTTCTTTTGCAACAGTCTTCAGTCAGAAACAGGTGGAATCCAGAGTTTTTGTCACGTTGGACGACGTTATGCAACGTCGAAGACACATTAAAACTAACGACGACAAAGCCATTTATATTCCGGTAACAGGCCGCCGTACGACGGCTCATTTACATTAAATCAGGAAGTGTGGCACGGTTTAAATCTAATAAATCACGGGTATTTAAAAGAAATTCCATTAGGATTTTTTCTAGTTTAAAAAGTAAATGAATTCCTGTTTATAGGGGTGGTGTTAGCTTAACGCTTTCTTATCCAACGTCAGAGCAATACAAAATGTAGCAAATTCTCCAAAGTTTAGCTAATCGTAGATTTTACTGATTTTTTTTTTTTTTTTCCGTATATGCTGAGTAGTAAAACTTCTTTCCCCTGGTTCGATGTACCGGAATCTATATTTCCGATTTGATTTTTTTTTTTTTTTTGGGGGGGGGGGGCTTGTGTTGGCAACACTGATTTTTTGGTGTCATTCTAAAATCTCCATGTTGTTATCTTTTATCAATAATCTGATAAAATAACATACATAAAATACAATTTTTTCACATCCGGTTTATAAATTAACCTTTTACGCCAAAAATTGATTAAGAGCAATGCCAACTTTAGCAGTTTTGTTTAAGGTTAGCAGGAAAACCCGTGAGTTTAGGGCGGAGGCAGTATTGTTCCCGCTGTTTATACCCTTGTATTGGCAACACTGATTTTTTTTGGCGCCAATCTAAAATCGCCATCTTGAAATCTTTTATCTCCGACATGGCTCTTTACCCAAATTCTGCATCTCGTATGGAATGTTATATCAGCCAAACATAAATATTTCATGTCCGATTTATAATCGAATTCTTTCTTGCCCAAAGTTGCTTCAGAGCAATGCCAACTTTAGCAGTTTTGTTTAAGGTTAGCAGGAAATCCCGTGAGTTTAGGGCGGGGGCAGTATTGTTCCCGCTGTTTATGCCCTTGTATTGGCAACACTGATTCTTTTTGGCGCCAATCTAAAATCGCCATCTTGAAATCTCTCCGACATGGCTCTTTACCTAAACTCTGCATCTCGTATGGAATGTTATATCAACCAAACATAAATTTTTCATGTCCGATTTATAACCTTGAGGTTATCGTTACAACTATTCGTGATTGAAAAGATTGATGGGCATACACATTATTATAAGATTCAATATTCTACAGTCAGTGAAAAGATCCATTCCCAACTGGCATGAATGTGATTTATTGTCCTTTGGCCATTTTGACCAACTTTGCCGTTGAAATTTTAATTTAATATCTACATGACATATAGCTCATTGTATATAATTGACCTTTGTCAATGATCAAATTAGAATTGCTATCCAGCATAATGATTAATGGACAACGACTGCGTGTATACCTGATAAAAATAACATATAAATAGTGTATTATTTGTGGTTGTAATTCTATCTGAATCTGATACATAATCCCATTTTACTGAACTTTTTAACCGTGTCAAGAGGATAATCTCAACATTTCCCGTTATATAATGAAAAAGTGAGTACGTCAGTCACAAATGTAAATGGAGTAATTATAAAAAGTAATAATAATAAATATATAGAAATTTTGTATACCTGACTACAGGTGGTGGCCGTAGTACTGATGTGGATAGTGGTATTCTGAATGAAAAGCCGGATCTCCCGAACGGTGCATCATCTGTTGGCCATCCATCATATAGCCCATTCCGCCAGCCTCTGGGCTGTACGCTCCGCTAGGACCTGCTTGAAGAGAGAGACAGTGATCAGATATGAGACTTAAAACCGACCCCCGGCCGTTCTCTTTCCTTCCTAGTCGCTGATGGATAGCCGGGGAGGTCAACCCTCCGGACACCATAGATATATCACCTCTCTCGCTCTTTCTCCCGACCCTCAATCGATCCTTCCTCCCCCTCGGAGTGAGCCACAATTCACCTTCCCTTATAAAACGACCGGATAAAACAGAACTACTCGCTTTGTGGGAGTAGGGGCGGTGGAATGAAGGCGATAGCCGGTTAAGTATCCTGCAGTAGTTAGGGAGGGTCTCCGAGCATTAATTGTAGGTGAGAGGGCGGGAGGCGATCGACCGGGTTAAACGGCCTAGTAAATCGGCTCCCAGTAAGTACAAACAAACAAGACGACCACTACCTTTATAGCTCTCTACTTTCCTCCCCCACATCCACTAACTCTTAATTCAATTACTTGGAGACACCCCCAGGACTCATCAGTCACAACATCTCATTGTCCCTAGGCTCCTATAAGTGTAATAAAAACAATTTACAGGCAACCCTATTCTTACGTAATTACTACTGAGCCCCTTAAGAGAAAGAGAAATAGAAAAAGAGAAAGAGAGAGAGAGGGAGAAATATCATCAAGACTAGCAGGTCTTATAGTCTATAACGCTATTCTACGAAAGGATAGTTACCTGCTCGATTGGATTGATCTATCATAGGTTGTACGATTCTGCGCCTCGCGTTGATAAACCTAAAACAAAAGAAACATTTTGTAAATAGAAATAAAGATTCAAAGACTCAATACAAATTTTAAACAAAATAAGAACACATATAGAAAAGATCACATGTAACACAACCAAGGAATATATGATTAATTAAATAGAAAAACTGGTTTTAAAAAAAAATTGAAATTAATCACCATTAAATCTGAATGCATTCATGAGCAATTTTTTTCTATACGATAAATAAGGCAAATTAAAAGAAAAATTGTAAGACGATTCCAACGTTTAGAATAATATATACTTTTTCCATCTGGAAATGGTAAATAACCAGTAAAGGAGGCCGTAATAAAACTGATAGTGTTTAGCGTAGCGTATTAATAAAAAGCGGGTAATATCAATTGATAGGATGACGGAGTGAATGATGGATGAGAGGAGTAATGACACTCTAGGGACGGAGAGAGCTTCGATAATGAAACTAGGAGGAAACCATTAGATAAGGGTAAAAAATGGATCCCATCGGAGGGTTGTTGGGAAGGTGCTGCGTCAGCATCCCTTCAATCTACTCCCTCACAACTCACTACCGTCCTCAATTTACAATGTTTTATACTGACGCAACTTGGGAAAAAATGCGAGAAGGGGGGGGGTCTGCCTATGGAACTTTTCTCAGACTGAGATAGCGGCTAAAGGGATTTTAGGGGTTGAAATCTTGCGGGAACTTGCGGAGAAAAACGGTTCACACCTAGGTACAGCAGTGACATCTTTATTATCAAGAATCTTTGGATTAAATTTTAAAATATGTACACATACAGCGGTGAAGATAAATTAAAAGACTTTGAGACAAGCACAGTCCGCTTTTCTAGCCACTTTATTCAGGATTAAACAGAGAATGTTATACACATTCCTCGTCTTCTATTCTTAGAAAGTCCGTCATGCCAAGGAAAATAAAATTTGTCGGTTTCTTTTTACCTCTAAAATGTTTAAATTATATAAAAAATTATAAAAATAAAAACTTTTGATAAAAGTACAAGTTTTGAAAAATAATAAATATAAAAATGTTGATTATTGAACTTTGTTTTTAACAGAAGGAAAAATAACAGTAGGTTTATCTAGTGTATTGTAGAATATAACGTTTCAATTATTTTTTTGAGGAAGGGGAAGAACCGTTCCGAACCGAGGGACATTGATCTGGTGTTCCTCAAGGCTCCATCCTTAGACCTATCCTATTTCTTGTATACGTCAACAAAATACTTTGCCCTAATGTTGTTAATCCTTTATGGCCTAACTTTACCAATTTTGTTAAATGTTTAGCGGGAGATCCCGTAAGTTTACATCGGCTCCAAATAAACCAGTGTTGTCAATACACGGGCAGAAAGACAGCAAGGACAACACTGTGCCCGCCCTAAACTCACGGTATTTCCTGCCTTAAAGAAACTAGCAAATGTTGGCATTGCTCTGAAGCAACTTTGAACTAGAAAGGGTTATAAACTGGTTATGAAAAATGTTGCGTTTGGCTTATATAACGATCGATACAAGATGCTGTTATGGGTGCTCTATCATGTTAGAGATATAAGATTCCAAGATTTAAATTTTAAATTGGTGCCAAAAAAATCCGTGTTGCCCATACAAGATGAAACATTGAATGAAAAACGGCAACCGACCTAAGCTCATGGGATTAGCTGACCTTTAAAAATCAGCAAAATTTGGTGTCGCCCTTTGGCAACGTTGGGTAAAATGGCTTTTCGATGTCTACTTTTTCTTTTGGAGGATAGGTACAATATCGAACAGGTTAGACAACGCAATCTAGATAAAAAGTTTCTGCAAACGTTGGAAAATTAATCACAATAAAATACCAAATAGAAGCTGCATCTTCGGCCAAATATCTTGCGGTGAATGATAAATAGAAAAGGGGCAAAGGGTTGACCAACAAGGTAGTGGTCAGACCGCTGCTTCTGTACGCGTGATCCACCTGGAGTCTAATATGCAGGACTAATGTCATCAGGCTGCAGGTTGTACAGAACAGGTTTCTCAGACTTCGCCACGCTATGCATACGGAACTGCCCAACGCGACAAACACGTTGATGGTGTTGGAATAACTCGGAGACGTTACCATTAAGATGGGCTGTGATATGTCTAAACTACAATATTTAGAGCTCCGTTAATATAAGGGGAATCATGAGTCCTCCTTAATAGTTTGAAGTCAGGTAAAACAAGCCATTTCTAATCCTAATGATAATTATATACCAGTCGTATAAAAGAGTGAGGTAGGTGTGGCTTGTTTTCCCCTCGGCAAACACAAAAAGCGTCCATTATCGCACTTTACATTAATTGCAAAATCAATATTAGGTCGGGGGAGTAGGTGGTGGTGATGAATTAGATGCAATGAATCTTTCCTCCTCATTTCCCCCAGGCCACCCCACCCTCACCCCTAATCCTTCAATCTAAGTCCCCCACACTAGATGCAACTCCACTAATGCTTATTCGGTCAAAATTCCCGAGTTCGGCAAGGGAAAAAGTTTAATTAAGAAGAGAGAGAGTGTGTGTGTGAGAGAAAGAGAGAAAAGAGATCCATCCTAGCCCTAGCGCAACGACCGTCTATTTTTCTTATTCCTTGAGTCTATCTATTTCACTGAATACTTCTTTAGGTGAATTGTTTTTTACGTGTTCACCTTGGACCGAATTTTGCGGTCGGAGGCCGGGAGCCATCGTTCCATGGCACAAACATGTTCCCTAAGGCAATAAGCGTGATCGCAATATAAAATAGATTCCGTTATACATACAAAAGCTTTTTTTTATCTTGTTTACGTGGAAGGTAGTTCCTAAATAACATGTCAACATTGACCTCCGTAACTCAAATTTCCGGAAAATAATAAATTATTTTCTGTTTCATTCACATTTAGCAGGCTTGGTTCAATACATGATGCGTTCTCAGTCTAAAATCAATTCTAAATAATATTCTTTTATGGTAGACATAAATGAGTCTATAACATGAGGAATTTCTAATTTGATAGTTATCGATCATCCTGGTCTGCTAACCTCACAAGCTGTATAAGTAACTATCATCACACCTCAGACTATAGGAGTAAATCTCATAATGTGGAATTTTTATTATTAATATTGTAACTATTCGATGTTTAACAATTGGAACTATCGAATTTAGATATAGTTTATTAACCCTTCATAGCCTAATATTGTCTTAGAGCAAGACGAAATTTAGCGATTTTGTTAAAGGTAGCGGGAATCTCAAGGCATTAGTGATAGAGCATTTAGATTGGCGCCAAATAAATCAGTGTAGCCAATACACGGAAAGAATGTGCAGGAACAACACTGTGCCCACCCATAACTCACGGGATTTTCTGCTAACCTTAAACAAATTTGCTAAACATTCCAAAATGGAAATTTTGGATTGGCGCAAAAAATCAGTGTTGCCAATAAACGGGCCCAAAGAAACGCTAACCTTATGGATTAGGTACATTTTAGCAAATTCGCTAAATTTGGTGTTGCCTTGCGGCAACGTTTGGGACAAAAGGGTTGAGTAAGCTAGTGTCGGTCAGAAATTGAGTACTGGATAGTTATAACGGTAAATGAACTAATTTCCAGATTATTTTTGTTGTCGGGTGTGTAAACATGTCACGCCTATCAATCAATCATTAAAGAAATCGAAATCCTCTTGAAACGTGATGACGGAATTGGAAAGAGTTAGACCTGACGAATAATATCAGCAAGTGGTCCGGTTCGTCAACAAAACGCTTATCTTGACAACTTGTAATTCTTAAGTAAATATGTAATACGGCCTTTAAATTTTCCTGTATGATAGCGTCGTAAGACTTGTACTGTCACTGTTGGACGGTTGTTAATATTTTTGTTTTCCCTTGATTTGTAAATAATTGGATTCCTTCTCCAGTTCGATGTGGGTTTGAAAGAAAACCGGCGAGAGCGATTCGAGTCGAGTAATGCGAGCGGTTGGTAGGATAAAGGGCAATTTCTTTCTGGGGTTATTACTGGGATCTCTCGGCATATAAGGTATTTTGTTTTATGGCGGCTAAGGTTTAGAGAGGTAATAGCAATTATCATATAGATAGTGGGTCGGGGCCGGAGTTATTAAACCGTCCGGTATGAGACAGTATGCAGTATAGACACGTAGTAAGGGTGGAGGTCCGAGGGTGGATCCGAACCGAAATTGGTGGCCGGGTTTTCTCGCCGCCCCCAAACCCGCCGGCCTTTCACCTTCCGACCCCTCACAAATAAATAATTTAATAGGCCCGTCCGCCTCCCGGTGAAAATTTGATGAAGACAGTTTTACCGTAATTACGTATAGGAGCCACCCCCGTCCGCTGGGAGTTCACACGGACATGGGGAAAGGCCCAGGAACGGTGTGAACTCTTTAGAAAGCCGAAATTTTTCCTATTCCACGATTTATATTCGTGAAGGATTAAATTAGCCATCCGGTGAAAAAATCCACTATCCGTTGATTTATGCACCTGCCGTAATAGCTGGTGGATTGGGCCTTTTAGGAAAAAAAACATTCTCGGGGTTATATCGGACCGAAACCGAGTTTATAAAGGGACGTCAGCGAGGCGGATGGTGAACCCAGTGGGAAGCGAACAGCAGGAGTCCCCGTTTTCTAAGGCTACGGACAGGTCCTATATAAAGTCCGACCGGATCGCAGTGGGCGTTCTCTTTCCCAGGTGGACAAAAATAAAAAACACAAATTAGCCAATCGACGACATTATAACGCAAACGTAGCAGAGTTTCGGATATAGTTCTAAACCGTAAAATATCTCTTTAAATATAAATGTGATGTTAATCGACAGCGCGTCAGGTTTATGAACGCGATCCTAAATGGACAAAGCACTTAGCGCGAGACCACCGAGACAAGTTTATGATAACATAATACGTCACAACTGCCACTAGAGGTCGCTTCAGATCGCTAGATTTATTGCTCAACTAATGCCTCACATACGATAATTTAGATAACCTCTATTGTGCAAGTTTTAACGAAGAAACCATTCGGAGAAAACGAAAAAGTGAA